TAATTCGAATATTAAGTCCTTCGACAACCTGTATTGTATGTGATAACTCTCTACAACCTCCTGTGCTAAAAATATAAATACAAACGGGGAGTAACTCTAAAACTTTGAGCGTGATCGATGCAAACAAATTTCAAATTGACTCTTGAAAAAAAAATGACGAAAATGAAAAAAAAACAAACAAAAAACGGAGCGGGATTCTTTGAGAGGGGCGGGCGGGTCAATAGGGAAATATGGTATAACATTTCATTGCGAAAGCTAAAAAGCCTCTTGAGATATCGCCCGGAAAGGAAAGTGTTACACACAGACAGAATGTATTAATTTACAACCTTGATCTTTGAGCTTTTGACCTCAGAATTAATAGGGGTCTTCTTAAAGCCACTGGGAGTGTTTATTTAAAGTTTTATTGCAAAAGCTCAAAGGCTTCTCGAGATTTCGCACGGAAACAAAAGTATAAAAACAAGGAGAATTTATGACTTTGAACTTTGACCCTTTCACATCAAAACTGAAGGGAGCCTTCCTTAGGCCATAAGGAATTGTTATGTTACATTTCATTGCAAAAGCTCAAAGGTTTCTCAAGATATCGCGCGGAAACTAAATATTAAAACAGACAGAATTTATTACCTTGATCTTTTGACTTCAAAATCAAAACAGGTCTTTTTTTAAGTCATGGGGAGCTGTTATGTAAAATTTCATCGCAAAAGCTCAAAGGCTTCTTGAGATATCGCGCGGAAATGAAAGTGTAACAGACAAACAGAAATACATGTACAGATGGACGGACAGCTAGACGGACGGACAGACAGACCGAAATTAATATCTCCCACTTTCAGTGAAAGCAGGGGATAAAAAAGCATAATTTATTATCCCTAGATAGGGGATTCATCATGACGGCATCAAAGGCGCCGTTTGCAATTAAAATGAATAATTATTAATATTAATACCACTATGTACACTATGTATCCTTCCGTTTTTAGAAATACAAATTCTTAGACTTACAGCCAAACATTACAATATTATAACTTAAATCTTATTGACCTGAGACATCACAAAATGGACATATTCATGGTTTCCAATGTGACAGAAAACAGAAAATATTGACAAATACTTTACCGCGGTAATTTGTGGAGGTCAATGTTCCTTGGCAAGCAAAGTTGTACTTTTTCCTGGGTACATAATTTCGCGGGTTACTCACTTTTACAGTAGATTTAGTGAATCAATAAGTTTCAAAGTGAGCGTGTTTGGGGAGGTAAATTAGTGGGTAAGGGTACCCACGAAATACACCAAATTGGTCCCCCGCGAACAATGATGATTCCACAGTTAAAGACTATTTTTCACTTTCACAGGCGTGACTTAGGGATGGTAGTCATGAACGGATATGAAATAAAGGGTAGAACTAAACTTAAACGTTCATTTGATGACAAACGAGAATACTATTACACTATGGAAGTTTCTATGAAGAGAAACGGACACCCTAAAGCATTCAGACAAAATTTCAAACGTTTAGGCTGCCTTGCAGAAACAGCCAAACTGCAGAAACATCAGCACTGAACTTGCATTGATTCAGAAGAACTTGCTAACAAAGAATATTTATAATTAACAGCAGGTCCATATAACTTTGCAAGGCACAGGATGGTCTTGCGGCGTTATACAGAGCTAAAAATTTGACAAAACTTGTGCAATCAAAGCAAATCAGTCAGACGCATAATTTACAATTTTCCAGGCAGTGATCGCAGTTCAAGAATAATGAGATAAATATTGAGCGTAATTTAAAGACTCGGAGAAGAAATCAATTTCAACACAATACTTCATATATTTTAAGTTGTATACAGCCATGTCCTTTTTTTTTTATTTGTAGCGTTGGGAAATTCACATTATTCCAACATTTTACTATATTAAACTATAGTTTACTATAGTTAACTATAATTTACTGTAATATCCTGTGATACTTTTTTTTACTGTGAAACTTTACCCTTGAGCCTTTTCAAGAGTTTGAAGAGTAATATATCTAAATTTCAACATGAATGATATACATTTTGATATTATATATTAATACATAAATAATTTCTTTCCATTAAAAAAATCTGCATATGCTTGAGTTCGAGAATGTGATAATGGATATTGCAGAGCATAAACTTTTTAAACAGCCACGTTTTACGGAAGAAATACTGCTCAAATAACCCGTTTGTTCCTTAAACTTAAAATTGCCAACAAAGGAACTGAAGTAGTTAATATAAGTTACATTCTTAATCATTAAAGGGTCTAGTCTTGTACTCCACCATATTTCAAGTTGAAGTCCACACTTTGTATTCCTTACAAATATACATCAACTATGTGATAATGTTCTTCGCCCTAAAGCTGTAGACCTGCTGAACACGTCATTACTGGTGACGTAAATATTGTTAATTATGAGGAGCTTATATCACTTATTTTAAAGGGTCAAATCTTAGAGAACCCTGATCTTTCAACTGCGGTCATAATTTCATAAATTATGATCTCATAAGTTTAAGAAATTCATGAATGCTATAGAAGATTTCGCCAGGCGATGGGCCAAACCTTAACGCTTTTTCAGAATGGATTTAAAGTATCAGATGGATGTTGTAACCACGCGTTAACGATTGAGAAAAAAAATCTATCCTTCTGTTTTCAATAATTCAGAAGTGAAAAAAGAATTAGATAGATTACATGATCAATACGGTCCCAGCTGACAAAGCAGGTAACACCATTGTTTTTGTTAGTAGGGCTCATTATTTTAAATGCATTTTAGAGAAGCTGGGATTTAATTCTGTAAATGGAAATACAACTTATACCCATATCTCCCCTTCTAAGGGAGAAATTCTAAAAAAAGAAATGCGTAATTTTTAATATTTCTAATATTCTCAACAATCAAATTAAATTTGAATTACCATAATTTTACTGGATTCCCAAATTACAAAAATCTTTATACACAAAGATATATAGCAGGTTCCAGTAAACATTCTACCAAGCCTCTTTCTTTACTATTCCCTTAAAATATTAGCAACAGTGAAGGAGAAACTTCAGGAGTACTGTACAATATATTCAAGAAGGGGTGTAAATCAGATGTGGATACTTAAAAACTCCAAGAAACTTTTAGAAAATTTGAAATCAAAAACTTTTACCAAAATCAATAACTTTAGAACGTACGTCTTTTCAACACTTTATACACAATAAATTAAAGTCCAGGGGCCTGTTTTACAAAAGAACTTACGACTAAGACCAAAATTCAATTCTACTTGTAACTTTTTATTTTATATTAATTAATTTAAAAATGATTTTAAAATTTTTAATAAGGAATTTAGCAAGGTATTTTTATGCTGACAATTTCAAACAAAATCATTAATTTTGAAAAAAAAAATTACAATCAACTAAAGGTTTTGGTCTTAATCGTAAGTTCTTTTGTAAAACGGGCCCAGACTTTTTGAATAATAGGCATCTGCTACTTCAATAAAAATAGAGCTCGTTATTTTACTCATCTTGTCATTGGCCATTTGCAAAATTATTTTTGTTAAAAACTAATGCCTAGGTATCGAACATTTGATATATAATCCTCCTACGTGTTCATGTTCTTCACCTACTCATACCTAAAAAAAGTTTTTTATTCTATAATTGAATACACGTATTAGAAAATGAGCTCAGAACTGTTTGTATTTTTAAAGTAGCAAATAAAAATAATATTGAGTAAGAAGGCGGTTTTGTAAAATACTCGAAAATGTAAAGTTTTATTTTATTTAAAAATGTTACAATATACCTGAAATAAACGTGGTGTTGAAACTGATGTTACATAGGAGTATTGATAGAAATATTAAAATGTAACTCAATCAACAAGTAATGAGAACTGGAGGAAAGGCCAACATTTGATTGTGTCCTTGTCACATTTCGATGATTACGATTGTATCGTTCATGATCAGCAGTAAAAATTGTTTACCATTAGGAAGTATTCAAAGAAACATGCCAAGTGTTATTTATATTACGTTTTCTTTTATTCTGGTGACTATCTTGATCGAGGGAAAGTCTATAACTATTAAAAATAGCACCATTGGACGCATTATTACTGCCCAATATTCAAAGAAGGAACTGCGAAAAGATATTCTGGATCAAGTTTATAAAGAAACGACTCAGATTGAGAAGAAACTGAAATCCCTCACCAAAAAAGTCTCCTAGATGGAAAAAGGTAATAAAGAAAGAGAAAAAAGAAAAGTAAAACTTCTTCAATTAAGAATTTTTGTTTTTGTTTTTCTATACAAAATTGATATTGTCTCGTTAGAGCTTTCGAGCTAAAAAAAAAATGGAGCATTTGATTCTCATTATTGATATGATTCTGTTAAATCATATATCTTCGTGGTTTGAGGAATAAATATTGGTTCGAAAGGATTTATTTTGAAATATTTTTTTTTCAGTTTTTTTGATTTTCTTAAACTTAAAACTTCCATACAATTGCCAGCATTTGACATGACTTCTGTAAAATAAGCTGTAATTTGTCCATATATTCGTAGAGGGTTAATCTTCATGGTAGCTAAGGGACATTCTCTAAATTAATTAAATCTGCTATCTAAAACAAAATGAGAGAGAGAGAGAGAGAGAGAGAGAGAGAGAGAGAGAGAGAGAGAGTACTCATACCTAAAAAAAGTTTTTTATTCTATAATTGAATACACATATTAGAAAATGAACTCAGAACTGTTTGTATTTTTAAAGTAGCAAATAAAAATAATATTGAGTAAGAAGGCGGTTTTGTGAGATACTCGAAAATGTAAAGTTTTATTTTATTCAAAAATGTTACAATGTACCTGAAATAAACGTGGGTGTTGAAACTGATGTTACATGGGAGTATTGATAGAAATATTAAAATGTAACTCAATCAACAAGTAATGAGAACTGGAGGAAAGGCCAACATTTGATTGTGTCCTTGTCACATTTCGATGATTACGATTGTATCGTTCATGATCAGCAGTAAAAATTGTTTACCATTAGGAAGTATTCAAAGAAACATGCCAAGTGTTATTTATATTACGTTTTCTTTTATTCTGGTGACTATCTTGATCGAGGGAAAGTCTATAACTATTAAAAATAGCACCATTGGACGCATTATTACTGCCCAATATTCAAAGAAGGAACTGCGAAAAGATATTCTGGATCAAGTTTATAAAGAAACGACTCAGATTGAGAAGAAACTGAAATCCCTCACCAAAAAAGTCTCCGAGATGGAAAAAGGTGATAAAGAAAGAGAAAAAAAGAAAAGTAAAACTTCTTCAATTAAGAATTTTTGTTTTTGTTTTTCTTTATATGATATTACTTTGCTTTATAACGATAAAAAGTGCAGTTTAGAATATAAATGATTAATACTTTTATAAAGGTTAACATCAAATATATTCAGATCTGTAGTATCGTGGATTCTACAGATATTAATAGCTTTGGATAAGGGTATTCTTCATTAAAAACCTTTATATTGTTTACATTTATACTATAAGCAAGGTATGCTACTATACGGCTTAAAAATAAAGAAAATATATGAAAGCTTCACGGATATCAAGATCAGTGTTCGTCCATCGCTAACACCTATATATTTGGTACAAGTAGATTCAAACTCAGTAATTTTTCTTTCTTCCAAATCCATAGAAGAAGTCAGAAGCTAATTTATATTTTGTTTACGAAATGTGATATTTTCCAAACAGAAAACTATTGTTTGACAACAGTGCCCAACTGCGTTTCCCGATGAACTTATAATTACAAAGCAAAGGTAACCACAGACATTTAATACTGTGCTCAGAAACATTCTTCATTTCTTTTTCGAAAAAATACAGTTAGCCTATAAAAATTATAAAGATGTGAAATTTCAATAAACACCTACCAAAGGCTTTGGTTTACAAACAGATTCAAGCAGATGATAGAAACGTACATTACAATACTTCCAGCAAATACAATCTATCATCAAGTCAAATACTGACTAAAGATTTCACACTAATTGTTAGGCCATTATTTACACACTGGATTTTCTAAGGATTTTTTCCGTTTTTTTTACACGGCGGGTGTGACCGGTCGGCAAGGAATGCTCACTCCTCCATGGCACCTGATCCCGCCTCTGATGTTTTCAGAGGTCCGTATTTGCTCTTCTCCTGATTTGTATTGTTTGGATGGACTGTTAAGCTTGAATACTAGTCGTTATCTCCATATTTCATTCCATTAATTTTTGGGGTTATTATAAGGGAGAAAAATGAAATAAAAGTACTCCTCAAAATCAAAATATTACGGAAGCCGAGTAGGGAAATCCAAATCTAAATAAAAAACGAAATTGTTAAATAAAAATGAATTTATTAAATTAAAAAAACGAAATTATTATATAAAAAACGAAATTATTAAATATAAAAAACCGAAATTATTAGATAAATAACGGAATTATTAAATAAAAAACGCATGGTATTGATCTTAACACTTGAGTCGTTTCAAGTAATTCAGGTCGCCCTCTTGTCTGTCCTGATATGGGTTTTTGGAAAGAGCACACGTTTCTACGAGACTGTTGATTTTAAACAAAAGAAATGTGTGTCTCTGATAAAACAGTTTAACATGTTTTGAATTAAAGAAAGTAAAAATCTTACATGTTTCACACCATTGAAATAATTTTAATCTTGGTAATTAGTCAGCACTCATCAAAAGTGAAAAGCTAGTGCATCGTAAACAAAGCTGACCTTTTTTTAAAACGGAAGTGGGAGACAGTTTATGTATGTATTTTCCGCGCAAAGGAACAGAGGAATTTACTAAGATAAAGTTGCCTTATGGTTTTGCCTATCCCGAGCTTAAAGAAATGTACTCGGAACAATATCGTCACTTCGTGTAATCGGAGGCACGTGGAAAGGGATCACAGGACAAAACGAAAAAATAAAATTATCATTTTTTTTCTTTTGAAAAATTAGTTTATTCAATGTCATTAGGATTTATAAATGCGAACTTTGTTTAAAACTTTAAAATAATTTCGTAAGAAAGGAAACGAGATCCTTTGATCCGAGAACGTAGATAGCCTCACAAGGTGGCGATCTATATGAGCGGATCAAAAGATCTGAATTAATGCTAGAAAACAGGTTGGATATGCAATTTAAGTTTCATTAACAAAAATATTTCCGTGCAATATTCAACTAGCGCTGGTGTAATCTTAAGTAATTTCTATATCACCATCAATTTCACATATTTTCAAACCTCACCCTTTGCTGCAAAATATTTGTGTATAATATATGATACGTAAACAATCAAATTAAAAAAAAATGTAAAATAAATATATTAAGAATAAATAAATAAAATAATCCCCATTTTCTGAAATTTCTGTTGTAAGGTATTCTCTGTATAATGAATGAATTCTGAACAATTTTAATCATTTTAAACTAGTTAAAAATGCATTGCTAGATAACGATGAAAGGGAAATGAACCAAATTCATATGACTGATAACATGAAAGAAGCTTGTCATTTTGCACCTTTTGAAGAGTTATCTGCCCTTGACGAAAAAAATTAAGTTATTAAGTTATTCAGTTAATCAGAGGTGTTTGAGAACCGATACTAAGTTCTACTATCTTTTACTTAGTCTTGGTAAACAATTTTCAATCCCTTTTTATTTCATACATCATAATCATAATTCTTTAAAAAAAAAAGAATATAGAGTAAGAAGTTATGAAATAACATTCAAACAGGTTGATTGACATAGGCAAAATTTATCAGACTTGCATGTATAAAATGAATTAATATTGAAGAAATAATTTACGATTACAATTTTTTCGGATTTGTCCTAGCCGCAAAATTCCGCAAAAATTGGACAACCGCAGAAAATACCCCTATACGGTATTATTATTATATACTTTATCACTTCTATTTAAACTTTGATAAAATGACTCAGAATTTAGAAATGTATTGTTTAATTCTTAATGAAGTACGCAATCATTACAACTTACTCAATGTAAATTGATTTATTCAATTTTTAGCACTTGCTCTCTTTAATATATTTTTTTTGATAATATAAATCAAACCCGCAAAAATCTGATCGGTAACGAATCATTTTACAGCATTGCTGTGTTGTGCGGTAAGTTGACAAATGATGTATAGCCATGGGAATTTCCTAAATGTTATAAAGTTTATCAGTTTTAAACAACGGAATCTTAACAGAAATCTATATCTTAAAATATTTTGTCAATTTACTATCTATTTGATAATTCATTTTTAGATTTATTGTTTGCTTATAGTTAGCTTATCTGAGACGAGGGTTTAAGAGAAATAATGTTAATTTTTCATATTTTCTATAATCACTGGCCAATTAAGCAGATTGGTCAAACGTTACATTAATGCAAGATAAAAACATATAGATCATAGCATATTACATAATCAAAGCTAAATCTTTCCCATGTTGTGATCGAATACTGCATCTGGTCATGTTAATGATATCAAAATAGCTGAGTTTAAACGCAAACGTTTTCGCACTTGTATTAATGTCCAAACTAAAGCAAGTTTATAAAATCAATGTTTTTTTACACGTGCACTATATGGAATGATTCATGGTTCACATCCTTACAACTCAATTTAAATTCTGTATTTTCATTTCTTATTTTAAAAATTCCGTTTTTATTTTTTTTTTTTATAATTTTGTTTTTTTACTAAATAATTTCGTTTTTATTTAGTTTCGTTTTTTTTATTTAATAATTTCTTTTTTTTTAATTTAGTTTCTTTTTTATTTTGTAATTTATTTTATAATTTCTTTTTTTTTTATTTAATAATTTCGTTTTTCATTTAGTTTTTGTTTGTACTATTGGGCTTGTCACATAAAATGTCACATATTTCAGTAAAACAAATTACTCATCTATCATCAAATCAAATAATTAAGATAATTATAATGCTGAAAGAATGAATATATTCTATACACAGATTAGGGCACTCTATCGAATTTGTGCGGTCGTCTCATCAATTAAGAGTAAATAGATTAGTAGGTATAAGGGCAATGGAAAAAAATCTTCGTATTAAAAAAATCTTTGCAATTTCAGACAAACCAACAAAGAGCTTTGGGTTCTATTCCTACATATCTAGTGATCTCAAAAACCCTGGTGGTGGCCATACTTTTGTATTTGACGTGGTAAAAACGAATTATGAAAATGGATACAACGAACGCACCGGGGTTTTCACTGTTCCAAGAAATGGGCTATATTCATTTACATGGGTGACACGTGTGCAGTGCAATGATGCGTACACAAGTGAGCTTTACGTCAACAAAAATGTTGTGGGCAGCACATATGCGTTCTGTGGTTATAATACTGTCACAGGGAATGCCATTGTCAAAGTGTCCAAGGGCGATGTCGTATTCGTACGTACTCTTGCAGGAAGAGGAATGATAAGAAGTAATAAACATGGCCGATCCTCATTTTCGGGATTTCGCATTGAATAGGTCCTGTATTTGTTATAAAAAATGATTTTTTTTCTTTTCAAGTGTTCAAATAAATCAAGTTTTTTTTTTATGTTGTAGATATATAATCAAAATGCAGTATGTGTTTGTTTATCCAAATTTTTTTCAGAGTAGTACAGTGTCGATGAAGGGTCAGATAAAAATATTAGATCTTTGTTTGGACGAATTAGATATTTGTTTCAACAAAATTGATCTTTTTTCGGACAAATTAAATATTTGTTCGGACGAGTTAGAAATTCGTTCGGACAAATTTGTTCGAACGAATTAAATATTTGTTCGGACGAATGGACGAATTATAAATTCATTCGGACAAATTAGATATTCTTTCGGACGAATTAGATCATTGATTGGACAAATTAGAAAATCATTTTTCATAGAAAAATATTTTTTGAAAAAATTATGAATTCGTTCGATTCGGACGAATTAGATATTCGTTCGACGAATTAGATATTTTGTTTGAACAAATCAGAAAATCGTTTGGAAATTTAAGAAAAAACGTTTGGACAAATTAGGTATTATTCAGACGAATTGGATATTTCTTAAGACACATTAGATATTCATTTAGTAAAAATAGCAGGAAGTGACAGGACGCTTCGGTTATGCGTGATTTGCATCGAACAAATTACACTTGCTTCCGGTTAAGTTAATGCAAAGTTTGAAAAAGTGTTAAAAATCATATTAAAGGAATTATTTGCAAGATGTAATATCTTTTTTTTCCGATATGTAATTGTAATAAAGTTGGTTCAATTGTTTAGTTTCAGTATAGTTTTGTTGATTTAACTTTGGCTACATTGGGTTACCGCAGATGGGTGTAGAATGCGAGTTATTTTTGGAAGGGTTATATAAGTGACCGGTAAAGCCAGAGTGGTCACATTACGGAAAGGTAACAACATCATCCGGATGCCACGTTTCTACTTATCCTATATGTTCTTATGTCCTGGCGAATATTGCAGATATTAGGATTGTCAAATGGGCAGCCATTAGAACAAGGAAGGATTGTTTGGACTGGCATAGTTTGCGCTAGCCGGTAAGCCTATTTGTTTTGTTGTTCAGTTTGTCAATATTGTAAGTATGTTTGTTTATTTGGAGTTTTTTTTATGTGTAAATTTCGTTTAGGGTTAGCTAAACATACGATATTATCAGTGCTTGAGAGGTGTTTGGCCCATTTTCTCAATGGATACTAATTAGAGTCATGTGTGATGTAAAGCGACATTATGGATGGTCATGCGGGTAATTAGAGGTGGATTGTTGTGAAGGACAGACGCAGTGCGTTTGGTCCAAGTAGGAGGGTGAGACCAGAGAGTCCGGGCCTCCAACTAGGGTTGTGCATCCTTTGAATTCGATTGTCTGCATGTGTGGTTATTAGGGGGCGGATCAGCACGTGGTGGAGGGAACCCTTCCTATGTGACTCACCCCTCAATACAGTGATCGCTTGCAGTCATCAGTGCTGAGTTATATTATTGAGACAAGGGAAAAGCTAGCTAAGATGGCGAACATTGTCACAGGAAATGATGAAGTAAGTAAACGAGATCAAAAAAGGCACTGTGATCGGAAGGTAAGGCAGCGATCTTTAGATGTAGGCAAAAAAGGTATTAGTTTTACTTCCTACAAGTACTAAAAAACTATTGGCCCAGTGGAAGGGACCAGCACCGGTTACTGGAAAAGTAAGTCCAGTTGACTGTAGAGTTCAGTATTACGATGGGGGGAGTTAAGTCTACCATATCAACATGTTGAAACGATGGATAGAGAGAGAGAGAAGGACAATGTGGTGATGACAGCCATATGTAACGTAGAGTCTGCAGTTGATAATGATTGGATTGGAAATCCTTTAATGCACGTTCGAGATACAGTAAAAGATGTTACGTTAAAATTTCTCAAACGTTTACGCCAAAACAAAGAGGTGAGTTACAAGTTTGTTTAGAGCAATTCAATTCGGTTTTGTCCAATGTCCCAGGTCGGACTAATCTGTTGAAAATCATGTTGTAACTACAAATGAGATACTAGTTTGTCAGAAACCTTATCAGATACCACATTCCTTGCGTGATGAAGTCAAAAAAGGAGCTATCGGTCATGGTGGAGGCAGGTATAGCAGAAGAGTCAGTTAGTCCATATGTGTCACCAGTGGTGATCATTCCAAAGAAAGACAAATCTGTAAGGTTTTGTGTGGATTATAGAAAACTTAACCAAAGTACTCAGGTTGATCCAGAGCCTAATGCACAAATAGAAGACATTAAAGATAGGTTGGGCGAGGCTAAGTATCTTAATAAATTAGATCTAACTAAAGGTTACTGGAAAATTTTGCTTGATGAAGATGAAAAAGAGAAGAGTGCATTCATCACACCATTTAGCCATTATTAGTTCTCTGTATCTTGGTATGATGAATTCAGCAGTCACTTTCAACAGGTAAGTGAGAAAAATTCTGGTAGATCATCAAGAGTTTTCAGACGTATTCATTGATGATATCATTTTCAGTAAGGACTAAAGGACTTGGATAGTCACATTAAACATATAAAAGCAGTACTAAAATCTATCCAAGACGCAGGGTTCACAGCAAATCCACAGAAATGCGAGCTTGGTACCAGAGAAATGGAATTTCTTGGTCATGTTGTTGGATATGGTAAGGTTAAACCGACATCAGACAAGGTTCAAGCTGTCTGTGACATACCTATCCCAACAACGAAAAAGGAGGTAAGATCTTTCTTAGGCCCAATCAATTTTTCACCGAAGTTTATACCAAACTTTTCTGTAAAATCGGCTATGTTTTCTGATCTCAAGAGGAAGTCTAGTCCAAACAAAGTCATATGGACGGCTGATCATAAAAAGGGCATTCAATAAACTGAAGTCAGACCTAGTAACTGCTCCAGTTCTGTGGAATCCTGATTTTTTTCTTCAGTATTTTAGGACTGGGGCGATACTACTACAAGAGAAGAATGGTGAGTATCATCCTGTGGTATATCTAAGTAAAAAAACTTATACCTAGAGAGCAAAACTTTGCTACGGGTGAGAAGGAATGCCACGCAATCGTATGGGCTGTGCAACGGTTGCATAAATATCTATACAATAAGGAATTTATTATAGAGACACACCACAGTGCTTAAAAACAATGGGATCCAAGAATCCAAGGCTATTACGAAGGAGCTTGATTCTACAGGAATACAAATTCACAGTGAAACATATCCTCAGGATGGCGGATCTATTGTCTCGATCAACATAGAGTTCGAGGTTCTAATCAACTTCATTTGTGATTTATTTACAATTGATATTGGTAAATAAATGGGGATGCATGTAATAAAGTTAATTCCATTGTTTAGTTTCGGTATAGTTTTGTTAATTTAATTTTGACTATATTTGGTTACCGTAGATTGGTGTAGAATGCGAGTTATTTTTAGAAGGAGCATATAAGTGACCGGTCAGGCCAGAGTGGTCAGATTATGGAGCGGTAACAACATCATCCAGATGCCACGTTTCTACTTGTCCTATACTTTTTTATGTCCTGGCGAATATTGCAGTTGTAAGGACTGTCAAACGGATAGCCATTAGAATACGGAAGACTTGTTTGGACTGACATACTTTTGTGTTTTCCCTATCTCACTAGCCGGTAAGCGTATTTGTATTTATGTTCAATTTGTCAATATTGTAAGTATGTTCGTTTATTTGGAGTTTTTTAATGTGTAAATTTCGTTTAGGGTTAGTTAAAATACGATATTTTCAGTGCGTGAGGCGTGAGGGGTGTTTGACCCACTTTCTCAACGGATACTAATTAGAGTCATGTGTAATGTAAAGCGACATTATGGATGGTCATGAGGATACTGAGGGATGGATTGTTGTGAAGGACAGAGGCAGTACGTTCGTTCCAAGTAGGAGGGTGAGACCAGAGAGTCCGGGCCTCCAGCTAGGGTTGTGCATCCTTTGAAGTCGATTGTCCGCCTGGTGGTTATCAAGGAAGCGGATCAGCACGTGGTGGCGGGAACCCTTCCTGTGTGATAAGTGTCTAGTAGTGAATAAATTTTGTATGTAAATAAAATCTGAAAAAGGAATTTTCAAAAAATATTATACAGATTATTCAATTTTTCTAATTTCTAATTAAAAAAAAACAATTATTTTGAATCATTGTATCTGATACGCTATTTGAGACAAAAGACTTGTGAATTAAAAGTAATTTGAGTATCAGATATTTGTAAAGTTAATAATCGTTTTCATATTATTTTTAGTTTGTGTGTGGTGTGAAAGGAGGGAGAGAGAATATTATTATTATTTTTTTTTCGTTTATTTTCATTAATAATTTTTTTTGATAGTTTTACAATTTGTTCTTTCATTTCAGCATTAAAAAAACCCAAAAGAACTCATTACAGTAATAAATGTTCAGAGATGCCTTTGTGCAAGAAGTGCGGTATGTGCAGCGTTATTTTAAAATAACAAGTAAGTACACTATGTAATTAAGTGAGTGCCTTCACTTTTTCTTCATATCAATAGGTATACATATTTTTAAACCAAGACCCAAATACGCATGTTTGTTACAAGCCGTGCAGTATCAAATGGTTTATGTCAGAGAAACAGTAGATGATATTTATCGTGAGCTGATTGAATTTGTTATCAACTTACATTTTTAAACATCATGAACCAGCCGCCAGAACACATAGTGAGCAATAAAAGCTAATCATGTTCAAAGTATCCTTGAAAATGACCTTTTCAAAAGATCAAACTAGTGCTGTAGTATTGATTGAAACAGTTTAATGCTACAAAAAGTTAACAAATGTTATACAATATGTATATACATGCTGCACAAAATACAAAATGTCTTATAGAAGAAAGTTCTACCCACCATTTTTCGACTTTATCAAGGAAACAGTAACAGCTGCCAATGCAAATTATTATTATTATTATTATTATTATTATTATTATTATTATTAAATTAATTTTTAAAGAATGTGTTGTTTCCTTTATCAAGTCTGTCTAAGCCATGCTGAATAAGGTTATTGTGT